TGACAAATTTGCAAGGCTTCAGACTTGAAACCTTTGGAGTGAGCTCCAGACGTAGGTGCATGATGCCCCCAGTTTCGTTTTTGTGCAGTAAGTCCCATAGCAAGGGCTGTCAGCGCCAGCCGACGTGGCTCTCATGAGTCGCGGTCTAAAGGTACCTTAACATGGAATGGATTTTGACAAACTATACCTTGGTGGATAGCGGATGAATAGGCCTACAAGCTGACAAATTTGCAAGGCTTCAGACTTGAAACGTTTGGAGTGAGCTTCAGACGTAGGTGCATGATGCCCCCAGTTTCGTTTTTGTGCAGTAAGTCCCATAGCAAGGGCTGTCAGCGCCAGCCGACATGGCTCTCATGAGTCGCGGTCTAAAAGTACCTTGACACGGATGGATTTTGACAAACTATACCTTGGTGGATAGCGGATGAATAGGCCTACAAGCTGACAAATTTGCAAGGCTTCAGACTTGAAACTTTTGGAGTGAGCCCCAGACGTAGGTGCATGATGCCCCCAGTTTCGTTTTTGTGCAGTAAGTCCCATAGCAAGGGCTGTCAGCGCCAGCCGACGTGGCTCTCATGAGTCGCGGTCTAAAGGTACTTAACATGGATGGATTTTGACAAACTATACCTTGGTGGATAGCGGATGAATAGGCCTACAAGCTGACAAATTTGCAAGGCTTCAGACTTGAAACTTTTGGAGTGAGCTCCAGACGTAGGTGCATGATGCCCCCAGTTTCGTTTTTGTGCAGTAAGTCCCATAGCAAGGGCTGTCAGCGCCAGCCGACATGGCTCTCATGAGTCGCGGTCTAAAGGTACCTTAACATGGATGGATTTTGACAAACTATACATTGGTGGATAGCGGATGAATAGGCCTACAAGCTGACAAATTTGCAAGGCTTCAGACTTGAAACTTTTGGAGTGAGCCCCAGACGTAGGTGCATGATGCCCCCAGTTTCGTTTTTGTGCAGTAAGTCCCCATAGCAAGGGCTGTCAGCGCCAGCCGACGTGGCTCTCATGAGTCGCGGTCTAAAGGTACTTTAACATGGATGGATTTTGACAAACTATACCTTGGTGGATAGCGGATGAATAGGCCTACAAGCTGACAAATTTGCAAAGCTTCAGACTTGAAACTTTTGAGTGAGCTCCAGACGTAGGTGCATGATGCCCCCAGTTTCGTTTTTGTGCAGTAAGTCCCATAGCAAGGGCTGTCAGCGCCAGCCGACATGGCTCTCATGAGTCGCGGTCTAAAGGTACCTTAACATGGATGGATTTTGACAAACTATACATTGGTGGATAGCGGATGAATAGGCCTACAAGCTGACAAATTTGCAAGGCTTCAGACTTGAAACTTTTGGAGTGAGCTCCAGACGTAGGTGCATGATGCCCCCAGTTTCGTTTTTGTGCAGTAAGTCCCATAGCAAGGGCTGTCAGCGCCAGCCGACATGGCTCTCATGAGTCGCGGTCTAAAAGTACTTTACATGGATGGATTTTGACAAACTATACCTTGGTGGATAGCGGATGAATAGGCCTACAAGCTGACAAATTTGCAAGGCTTCAGACTTGAAACTTTTGGAGTGAGCTCCAGACGTAGGTGCATGATGCCCCCAGTTTCGTTTTTGTGCAGTAAGTCCCATAGCAAGGGCTGTCAGCGCCAGCCGACGTGGCTCTCATGAGTCGCGATCTAAAGGTACCTTAACATGGATGGATTTTGACAAACTATACCTTGGTGGATAGCGGATGAATAGGCCTACAAGCTGACAAATTGCAAGGCTTCAGACTTGAAACTTTTGGAGTGAGCTCCAGACGTAGGTGCATGATGCCCCCAGTTTCGTTTTTTGTTCTTTAAGTCCCATAGCAAAGGCTGTCAGCGCCAGCCGACATGGCTCTCATGAGTCGCGGTCTAAGGTACTTTAACATGATGGATTTTGACAAACTATACCTTGGTGGATAGCGGATGAATAGGCATACAAGCTGACAAATTTGCAAGGCTTCAGACTTGAAACTTTTGGAGTGAGCCATAGACGTAGGTGCATGATGCCCCCAGTTTCGTTTTTGTGCAGTAAGTCCCATAGCAAGGGCTGTCAGCGCCAGCCGACATGGCTCTCATGAGTCGCGGTCTAAAGGTACCTTAACATGGATGGATTTTGACAAACTATACATTGGTGGATAGCGGATGAATAGGCCTACAAGCTGACAAATTTGCAAGGCATTAGACTTGAAACTTTTGGAGTGAGCTCCAGACGTAGGTGCATGATGCCCCCAGTTTCGTTTTTTGTGCAGTAAGTCCCATAGCAAGGGCTGTCAGCGCCAGCCGACATGGCTCTCATGAGTCGCGGTCTAAAGTACCTTTACATGGATGGATTTTGACAAACTATACCTTGGTGGATAGCGGATGAATAGGCCTACAAGCTGACAAATTTGCAAGGCTTCAGACTTGAAACGTTTGGAGTGAGCTTCAGACGTAGGTGCATGATGCCCCCAGTTTCGTTTTTGTGCAGTAAGTCCCATAGCAAGGGCTGTCAGCGCCAGCCGACATGGCTCTCATGAGTCGCGGTCTAAAGGTACCTTAACATGGATGGATTTTGACAAACTATACCTTGGTGGATAGCGGATGAATAGGCCTACAAGCTGACAAATTTGCAAGGCTTCAGACTTGAAACTATTGGAGTGAGCCCCAGACGTAGGTGCATGATGCCCCCAGTTTCGTTTTTGTGCAGTAAGTCCCATAGCAAGGGCTGTCAGCGCCAGCCGACGTGGCTCTCATGAGTCGCGGTCTAAAGGTACCTTAACATAGATGGATTTTGACAAACTATACCTTGGTGGATAGCGGATGAATAGGCCTACAAGCTGACAAATTTGCAAGGCTTCAGACTTGAAACTTTTGGAGTGAGCTCCAGACGTAGGTGCATGAGCGCCCCAGTTTCGTTTTTGTGCAGTAAGTCCCATAGCAAGGGCTGTCAGCGCCAGCCGACATGGCTCTCATGAGTCGCGGTCTAAAGGTACCTTAACATGGATGGATTTGACAAACTATACTTGGTGGATAGCGATGAATAGGCCTACAAGCTGACAAATTTGCAAGGCATTAGACTTGAAACTTTTGGAGTGAGCTCCAGACGTAGGTGCATGATGCCCCCAGTTTCGTTTTGTGCAGTAAGTCCCATAGCAAGGGCTGTCAGCGCCAGCCGACATGGCTCTCATGAGTCGCGGTCTAAAAGTACCTTAACATGGATGGATTTTGACAAACTATACCTTGGTGGATAGCGGATGAATAGGCCTACAAGCTGACAATTTGCAAGGCTTCAGACTTGAAACTTTGGAGTGAGCTCAGACGTAGGTGCATGATGCCCCCGTTTCGTTTTTTGCAGTAAGTCCCATAGCAAGGGCTGTCAGCGCCAGCCGACATGGCTCTCATGAGTCGCGGTCTAAGGTAACCTTAACATGGATGGTTTGACAAACTATACCTTGGTGTAGCAGGATGAATAGGCCTACAAGCTGACAAATTTGCAAGGCTTCAGACTTGAAACTTTTGGAGTGAGCACCCCAGACGTAGTGCATGTGCCCCCAGTTTCGTTTTTG